CTGTATATGTTTTTTTGGTGTCTAGTCATTTTTTCATCCTTAATTCATCAAACAGTATTACTGCTATGAGTTGGTCACAAATTTCATCCAACTATCATCAGCAGCGGCTCAACTGGAGTATGACTAAAAAAGTTTCCTAAGTCATTTAACAAAAAAAAAAGAAGCCACATTTACATAATTGCTAAAAGGTTAGGTTATAGGGTACATAACATGTAAAATCAACCTTTTTAGCCATAAATACATTTTGTTGTGTACTTAAAGTTTCTCGGAATGCAGAAAATTAAAATTTAGTCTCTCTGTGCTGCATAGATATCTTTATATTCTTTTTGAGTTATATTATTTTTAACACATTCCATTTTCTCTATTTTCTATGATGTTTTCTGAACTATTACATCACAGATTTTGTGACAGACTTGTTAAATAAGGTCTGAACTTACAACTACAATTTGGTTGTCTTCATTCTCCTCTCACTCAGACTCTGTCTCTAACATGTAATAAATTTGTAGGTAAAATGTTTCTGCAAAGTTATACAGTAGTTTAAATTGCCTCATTGCATTTAAAGAGAATGTCAAAACGAGTTGATCTGTGACACACAACTGAATGATTTAAATCTAAAAAGAAGAATTTGAAAGCATGATATGTCTTGTTTAATGAAGAGTTGATTTTTTTGTATCATTAAAAGGCAGTGTACTTGTGTTAAAGACTTTATAGAYGTATGGATTTCAGCTCAACATGAAATGCAGGATTCAGAGGTTTTCAGACACTAGAAAAAGTTGTGTATCTCACATCCCCGTAACCTTGTCTGATTCTGTAGTTTTCAAAACAGACCACATCTGTTTTGGTAAACAATTGGCACAAAAGACCTTGAATAGGAACAAAACACGAGCTTCTTTATCAAGAATGCTCAGCAGTGGATGTATTGCCTGTGGCAACTAAAAGAATTTCATCTGCCACAACTGATGCTCTACTCTCCATGTTTCTATCAAAAAGCCCTTTCACACAAAACTTGGGCCTGATAGTTTGCCTTGTCTCTGTGTATTGTGTGAAAACAACCACCACCTGATCCAACACTGCTATAGCTCTGAGTCAACGAGGGCGGTAGTCACAGAGCTGAGTGGACATGTAGGTGGGCGATGCATGCACTTCTCCAATCTAAGCACRTCACTGGTTTCACAATGCCAGATCATKTGCACGAGGCTCTTTGACAAGACAGTTCAGTAAGATGGCCACAAAACCCAGTGCAACTTTATACTGTACACATAAGCTGCCTRTAAGCAAGCTTTGCAGAACCAATGGTGGTGCGGTGTAGTACTCAGCTGCACTGAAACAGAGAACTACWGATGTGTCTCGCTTATCATTTTCAAAACATGACGGATTAAATGAGTTCAGCCTTGCTGTGGTTAACCCAATATTTTAACTAAATGCAAAGTTGCTGTGCATCATCATAAACCTCCATGGCAACGTGCTTGTTTAGTCTTGTTAAGGCTTTTAAATGCAGAAGCCAGGTGGTCCCACAGATTGCATGTCGTTACTACATCACACTGCTGAATTGCAAATCCAGATTATCTTTTCATACCAACTGCTCTGTTATTACCTCGCCTGACAGCTCAGAGGTGCAAAAGCATTGGATTGGCCTCAAGCGCCCATGCCACTTCAGTTCCTTCTTGAGTTGTACCAAAAAGGCCTCTCAGTCCCCGCCTGAAGTATTTTGTGAAAGTGCCTATTGTCTTGGGACTTTGCTGGCATGATTAGTTTATGTGCAAATGTCCAAAGGCAGTTTAAAGATGAACTCATATTTGCAGTCTTATTGTAAAACCATAATGTACAAAAGGGTTATTGAGTCCATCCTCACCTCCTCCATCACTGTCGGATGTCCTGCTGCCACTATCAAGGACAAACGGTCTGCACCGTATCATTTCCTCTGCAGAGAAGGTGATTGGTGCAACCCGCCATAACTGCAGGATCTGGACACTAAAGTGGCAAACGTAAAATGTTTCAAACTCTCCTCTCTGGTAGGAAGATGCTGGCCATCATGTCCACAAACCTAATATAACAAAAACAGTTTTTTCCCCATAATCAGCTAATCTCACCTAATAAAAAGAGAGAAAACACAAACAATGACAGCCCTTGGTTCCCTGAATGCATTATTATGAGGCATTAATCTGGACATTTGGAAATACTTGCATTGATTGACACTTTATTTGCTTGTTCTGTAACTATTTGTTTCATTGATGTATCTCTTTTACTTTGTGAGTCCTTGAACAAATAAAATTTGAGAATTTGTATGTGAACTACTATAGAATTGGTCAGACAAGGTGGACAAGGTTCTTTTCCCTTTTGCAGCATCCCATTTTACTCAAACGTTGCAACTATACAACTACCCTATCCAGTTTAGCTGTTTTCCAGTTGCAACTCCAAGAACTCTGCTTAAGCTGAAAGACTAATAAAGCTAGAATACAAAGTAGTTTAGAAAGAAGTAGACTTCGTTTCCACAATTTCATTGTATTTTGCACTGAAAGGTCTTATATGGTGAATATTTAATGGCAAATGCGTTAACAAAATTCAAAAAACAGGTTTTTAAAATAACTTTTTAACACTGAAGTTCTCCGCTGGTTAAATGTAATGATTAACCATCTGAGTCCTTCCACTTGTCACCACTGGCCTTCAAAGGTCACCCAGGTTCCTGTTGGCCATTTGACGCACAGGAATGTGTGATAGCTTAACATGTAAACCTATCTGCAACGTTGCAGTGATGGCTCGAAGCTCGTGCCTCCACATGGGTCTCATTAGGGAGGGACGGAGAGACGGAAGGGGGGAGGCGGAGGAGGAGGTGTTGAAGAGCGAGGCCAAACAGAACAGTGCCGCGTGTGTGTGTTCGAACAGACCGCATGCTGTGAATGTGTGTGTTTTCCTGTGGACGAGCCACCCTGGTTCCACAAACACCATCGAGCGATCCGCTGCAACCGGTGAGACAGCGGCTGCTTTAAGGACTCATACTCTGTAAATGCGCAGGTTTCGTCCACAAACTGACTTCTGGTTTCTGTGCTAAATTTATTTCTTTAAAAAGTAGCGATTTATAAAACAAGTCAAACATTTYTGTATAGTATATAGGGCATTTTAAGTCTTTTTACTGGCAAAGCGCTAGGATGGAGGCTTGCTTTTAATATGACGTTTATCTACAGGATTACCCCACTCCCCTTCAAAAATAATAAAAAAAAACCCTTTTAAATCAGGAAACTTACAGCAAGAGCAAAACAACCAATTTAACTTCTGCTTTTCTTTGAAACTCTAAAAATCAAGCAAATCTAAAAGCTTTTTCATTTGCCCCACTCTTGAGAATATGACCCTGTACTGTAAATGTGGCAATAAAGCAAAAGTTAACATTATATCACAAATAGCAGTGCACTTTCTGAATTTCATGCACTAAATCCAAAATGTGTACTATTATAATAATAATGTTAAAGGTAATCACTGCTGCTCAGAATCTTGGGAAAGCTTGTGCTCCTGCAGTGGTCACGCAAAAGGCTGGGCACACACTCACCAGTGTATCACAGGGTCACATGGAGACAAATGAAATAGACAACCATTCACATTATCATATAGTCATGATACAGAGTTGCCAAATGTCTTACATGCAACTTTGTGGTCTGTGAGAGGAAACATGAGTGTCGTGTGTGCATGTAGAGAACATTCGAAAGGCACACAGAAAGGTTTCAGCTGAGCTTTTAACCGGCAACCGCTCCAACCACTGTTCTGTCTAGTGCTAGATGGAGTAGCCGTGTATAGGCTGCTCCACATGAGACATAAACACTTTGTGGGGTCAATTTAGATAATTCAGTTTTTTTATTTAAATCTATATAGCAAATAGACACAAAAGTTTTAGAACACTCTCCATTTTCCATTTTTTAAATTTCATATTCAAGCAGCTCAAATCCAATGAACAGCTTGCAAGGGTACAAAGGTAAGTGCTGAAATGCCAGAGTTTTTAAAAAAATGTAAGGTTACACAAAACTGAAAGTCAAGMTGTTCCAGGTTGGCCTTCAGGTCTTTGGATGTTTGAGATGGTGTTTTTTTCCACCATTTGAACCTTTGAAGACATCTCTTGTCACTTTTCTCATTTTCCCCATGTCCAGGGAGGTTCTTGAAGGTTCCATGTTTGGTAAGCTTCATTGTCTACTGGTGAAACTGGGATACCAATGTCTTTGGAGATAACCTTATACCCTTTGGATGTTGTGTGTTTGATAATATCAGCAGTTCAGATGTCCCAGACAGCTACTTTCTTTTCATCGTTGTGCCAAAGGAACAGGGCCTAACGTTGCTTTTTTTAAACACTGAAGTCATCATTCATAGGTTAATTGATGTCATATGGGCACGGACAATTTATCACAAATGATTCTCATTTGTGATTTACCACAGGCGAGTAAAAATGTGTTCCCATATTAAATGTAAAGGTTGCTAACACCAGTGTCACATCAAGCTTTAGTATTTTTCAGTTTTTCCCTCCCATTGCTTTTTGTTTTATGTTGTTTATCATTTGCTCTTTTGTATTTAACACGAGTGCTCTATACAAAAAAGTTGTTTAACTTGATTCATTTTATTCATGAGAAAAATGGATGTTAATAATGGAGAGCAGCACTTATGAGAAGATTAAAGTCTATAGTTAGCCAAGTTCATTTCCAGGCAGGCAGAAATTACTGAAGAGGAAGCTGAAAATAGTTTRGAAAGTACAGTCTGAATTAGCAAATAACAGATTTAACTTAAAGGTTACAGTTGAACAAAATGAGACAAAAATACAATCTTGAATACAGAAAAAACTGGAATAAATCATTAAAAGTGTAGATTCAAAAACAAAAACATCTGTTCATTATGACTTTGAGAGGTTAAATAAAAAAAGCTAATTTGAGTTCTTTTTCTGCTGCATCACTGTTACATCCAGTCTGCTCCTTAACACAAGACACATGTTCTGTAGAGAGGGTGAAGGTGCAGTAATCACAGGAAGTCTCAAACCAAACCAGGTGCTGTACTCTGAGTGCATCAGAAACTAAAGGTTTCCTGTTCTTTATCTGTTACTTAGGTCAACGAYGGAAAACCATTGAGTGTTGCAGCTGAAAGCATGAAGACTGAACCTGACAGCAAAGCAAAGGGTAAACATTTTCAATTAAAGAAAGTAATCCGTACAAGCTCCTGAACAAGGACAAAATACTAGAAACACTGCATGTGTTAGATTGCGTTAACTACAAAACATTTTCTATATCAGTTCTTTTGGTCCATGCAGGTTTCCTTTAATTCTGAAACACTATTGTTTCTTATCATCACCACATCTAATGGTGTTCATTTTGAAAGTGCCTTTTGAAGCATTCATTTGCCCGTGGAAAGATTTGAGATGCAAGATTTTGAAACGGTAGTGCAATGCTTTTCATAACATTCTACAAACAGGAGGAGAATAATGTTTTTTTTTCTGTACAGCAATGAAACACGTGATTTAGAGAAGCCTCACAAAAACAAGGTTTAGCAACTACGATGGAAATATTGTCTCTAATCCTGTTTCTGTATTACCCAGCCGAAGTCTTTTTTGTTTTATAAGTAAAATCGCTACATTTTGACTGCACAAAATCTATTCAAAAATAATTTTCTTCTATTTTTTATTATTAAATAAATGTCCTTATGATTTAACACATTTTTTTAACTTTAGTATTTTCCAAGATTATTGTTTAGTGTAAACTGTGGCTGTGTCTTAATTCAGTGGTTACAGCCGGCGTAGACCGAGTCTGACGTTGGCCACAGTCTTACGTGGGCCGTAGGCTGCTCGTGTCGGCTGCACAAACGGCTGTGAAATGAGACGGTCTAGTCTACGGAAGACATATGTTTGCGTGACTACACTCTGCCTCGTTACAAAGATGATACGTTTTATATCACATCGCTTCAGTTGTTTTTTCAGGGTATAACTGCACAAAATTCAGTTAACGAAATAAATAAAAAGCATTAATAATTTGGGTTTAGCTTCAGTTTCAGGACTTGAAACTGCATTTTATTTAACATCTCATTGCAACAAAATTTTCTTCGTCTGAGTTGCTTAACTTACATTATTCAGTCTGTGTGAATTTCCAAACTCCGTCATTAAAATAAATAAATAAATAAAAAACTCAGCCGTAAAATTTAAATAAAACAGTCTTTGTTTTTCTGTGTAATTTGCTGARGGCATAATAAACTAGACATGGGTTTTTACGATGTAAAAACAAGTGTGCATTGCCARGTAGCATGTCATTGCAGCATGGCTTTGCCTGCAYCAATGGACTTGCAGAATGAACCTTGACCAAGTTCAAATGTGTTTTCGATACCAGCTTGTGCCTGTCACGTCAGCAGGTGTTTGTAATTAAGGTAATTGTGTGACAATATGAAATTTGAAGGGATTTTTTTCTTAAAGTTGCATTAGCTGGGTTTTGAACCCAGATCTCCCACATGAAAGTCCATGACACACACCATTAGACKAATGGAACTGTGGCAGAAGTTGGTGGCAGGGGGCATTGCCAATACATAATATTACAACAACAGAGKAGTATTAAGACAAAATTATAGTAAAACATCAAAATACAATCATATTAGTATTGTAAACACTGAACAATTGAGATTAAATATTATTAAACTATGGAGCAGTACCAAGTTGAGTCAGCATGGGGCAGTATTGGACCAATACAAGGTTCCATTGACTGCCATTATAATTCATTAAACATTAATATTTCATAAAACTATAAGTTTTACAGGCACCAAAAGGCATAGCCATCATTTGGCACAGGGGCTTTACAGATATAAATTACAATGGCAGCTCTAGGACAAAGTATGCAGGAGGAGAAGCATGGCAAAGTTGAGATGACTTGGATGGGAAACAAATCAAAATAGTGTGCCTTGCATTGGCAATGCACACTGATTAAGGATACCATTGGCCGCGTAGGATATTACGATGCAGACTACTTTTTCGGGGTTTTGTTACATTTGTCAGCTGCATGAGTAGGCCCCTATGAATTGGGACAGCTTGCAGCGCGGGGCAGTGAGGTAAGCYGCTGACGTTGGCMTCAACCCATGAATTGAGACACAGCTTGTGGTGGTAGTTTAGCTTCTTCTTTATTTCACATAATTTTAGTGTACTCTTTCTGAAGTTGTAATCTGTGCTGTGATTGGTTGCCAGTGCGGGAGCAGTGTAAAGTCCTATTTCCATATGAAGCACAAAATGAGGACGAGCTCTCACTGAAAGAGGGTGATATCATCAACATCATCACCAAGGTGAGGGGAGTTTGTCTGTGGGTTGTCTGTGTTGGCAGTTGTTCATGATAAATATGATAATTCTGTTCTTTGTGTGTTATCCAGGAGTGTGCCGATGCAGGCTGGTGGATGGGCGAGATCGGAGGAAGGCAAGGCGTCTTCCCAGATAACTTCGTCAAACTGCTTGAAGTTGAGAAAGAGGTGATTGTTGGGCCCTGGCAGTGATGGAGAAACTGTTTGCTCATGCTTAAAAAACATTTAAATTAGTTGCTGCGATCATTCTTTGTGTGTTTTCAGAGACCGAAGAAGCCGCCGCCACCCAGCACTCCATCAGCTAAACACTCCACAGGTAACGGCTCGGTTTTCTCCTGTTGTGTTTTAACTCAAAAACAAAAAGCCAAATCAACACCAGTAAACCAATTAACTTTAATCTTTAGAGAAAAAAGCTGAGGTGAAAAAGGTTCCTCCTGAGCGGCCTGAACATCTACCCCATAGGGACCAGGATCGAGGTAAAAAAAAACAAAACGGAACAGCCTCGACTTACACTGATCTTCTCTGACATCGTTTTACAACTTTCAATTAACAGTGACGAACTAACAGGATCTAAGCTCCACATCTGAGCGGCTGCTTTAAAGAACAAAGGCTATTTTTTTCTGTTTGAGCTTGTGCAGCAGCCTGTTCCCTTGCAGCATGTTTCCCCCTCCTTTGTGTTGCAGAATGACAGAGCTTTGATTGAGAAAGGGTAACAGCATCTGTCTACACGCAGCCGGAAGCTCCAAGAACTGTGGTTTGCTTCTTGGTAAACGCTGGTACCGACAGCACTGCTGGTGCAAGACAGATGCTTTCACGTGTCACCACAGGGGAGCTAGGCTGAAACAACACAAAGCACTCACTTTTATGTCATTTAAATAAAAATAAAAAAGAGGGGAAAAAACACAAACACTTGCCACGCAAAAAAGAAAAAGAATCTGAAAATACCAGCCTTTTGAGGAATGAGTTAAATATGTGTGTGTGTGTGCGTGTGTGTGCGTGTGCG